GTATGCTCTGGGAGCATCTGAGTTAGAAAGAATCGTGCTGATTCTCAGCTACTAGAGTGATTTTGAGGGAAAATTTGTCTGTGACTGTGTGTTTGTGTGCTCACATATAAATATATATGGGGCGGCTATCTTCTTTCTTGGTTTTGGGGGAGGTGGTGGTTTTTTTTTACTTGCCACACGTGTACTGTGACTTTAGATCCAATGAGATAGAGTGAATCCAAGCAAATTGTTTTTGCAGTCTTTTACCAGCAGATGCAATTAATTTTAAAATTGATCAAGAATCAAAATCATAGTATCTAGATAAGAATGATTAGCCTTTGCTTCCTTCTCCCTGGAGTCTTTCAGGTTTTATCTTGCCAATCCTGTAGAAAGCTTGATTAATCCAGTAGGACTATTTTCCATCAAGGGTGCGTTCAAGCATCTCTCTCATATGTCTTGACCATCATTAGGTTGAAACAAAAATATCTCATTTGACAAAATAACATATAGGAGATTGCAGTCTTTGGAAAATAACATGGAATGCATTGTCAAACTCACATTCTCGGTGTCTTGTCTTTTATTGATAGATATACTTTGTCATTCTGTACATTAATTATAACTCAGGTGATATATGAACTTGGCACATTAGTTAATGAAAAGCTAATGCACGGTAATCTTGTCATCGCTACCTGTGCATGATAATTCAATCTGTTTCTTGGAAGAGCTGTTCAACATGCAACAAATTTGATTTAATATTGACATGATGTACTAGGTTAGGTGTTTTATTTAACATACCATGTGCTTGATTTGATGAGAAATGTTTTCCTTTCAACAGGTTATGTACCTGAGTCGGTAGGCCAGAAGTGCATTTTAAAACAGTTATGTCAAACACACCTTCTGGACTGGGGGTTTATGTGGTACGCTGCACAGACTTGGTCTAATTCTTGAGTTTCAGCACTTTGTGTATTCATTTAATGATGTCAGCATGCTTGTGAGCTAGCCCTTGAGACCAGAAAATGAAGCTAATGCCTCTATCACACACTGAAAACATAAAGTCCCTCTTGCCTTCTTTGTATACCTCTGAAGCTGACTTGTAGTTGCCATCACGGCTGGCAGGGTCTGACCGAAAAATGGGGGTTCAGCATGGAGGTCATGAGCGTGAGCTGGAAGAGCTTGCCCGGGCCCTGCCCCATAACAAGCCATGGAAAACTGAGTTCCTGGGCTGCGGGAACTGCCCTCTGTCTGCTTGGGCAGGATATAGTGATGTGGAGATGGTATGGTTAGTACTTAGATTTCCGCAAAATGCTTACACATATCCTACAAGCCAGACTGGGGAGCCTGTACAGTGTGTACTACTTTTTCACTTACATCCTAACAAAAGCGGTCTCAGTCCTCAAGTGTGTAAGAACTGTACAGTCTGCCGCTGTATATTTGCCTGACTTGCGTAGTAAAGGGAGCGAGAGATAAGGATGTATTTTCTTTATTTTAATGTAAAATATGTGAAAAGTTATCCCCAGGCATAGGACATAGATACCTGACATTATTTACCCTTATCGTAGGTTAATCATCACCAACTGACTTAGTATGGTAGAAGACTTTATGCAGTACCCAGAAGATGTTAGACGCTGCAGCAGTGTATATCCACATTGCTCTATTCAAATATTTTGGTGTCTAGGTGTATATGTTTATGCCATTCACTGCAGCACACAGACATCTAGCAGAATCTGTGTCTTGCTTAAAGGCAGACTAAAAGTATAGAAAGCGATTGGAACATACGCACCTAGTCCAGCCCACCCTCCAAGAGCAGTCCTCAGGGAATGGCCCAGAGCATGGCTCGTAGCACATCCCATAAGGCTGTTACTCGTGGTTCAACATTGTGAGGTAGGAACTGTGTGAGCGGAGGAACAGAAACAGACATATCGGCTCTTCCCAGCCACCACCTAGAATGCAGAGAGGAAGCAATAGTTTGCAACTAGCTTATAGCAGGCTGCGGTGAGGCACCAAGCCCCAGGGAGCAATGGAGAGCCGCGGAAGGAAGTGGCTTCTTGAATTGCATAATGTACTGCAAAGTGCTACAGCTGCACAGGTCCCTTTGCAGGAGACGCTTTATTAAGTTAGGAGTTAGTAATTAATGGCAAGTTCTCCAGACCTCTCTTTATTTTCTCTGAAGTTGGCCTTCATAATCAAAATTAAAGATTTTAAAGATAGGGAGCAGATTGCCAGTTGAAATACAGCAGCCTGGTGCTGAGTTCACGACTTTAAGAGACATTTGTCCAGTCCCATCTCCCTTTATGAGAAAGCAGGTCAAAGGCTCTTGAAGCAGTCCTTTTTTCTAGAGCAGCAGTGCTCAGTCCGGTGGTCAAAATGCTACACTGCAGAGAAGAAGCCAAAAGGGCAGAGAAGGAGTGGAGAAGACCTGCAATACACCCTGTGCTCCATGGTACAGCCGCTATCAGCTCACCGCGTGCCCACCATACCTGCAGCCTGTTTCCAAGCTGGAAACATGCCATCTCCTATACATTGGTTTGTATACCAATGTACAGGCTGCAACTCTGGTGCAGCCTGGGAGATCCTGGACAAGCAAGGAGCAGACCTGCAGGGTGCCAGAGAAGGCACTTGTCCTCCTTCCCGTGTTTCTTCCTTCTGCCGCAGTGTACAGGCAGCCCTGAGTTGTTGAGAATTAATCGCAGGCAGCTGGGACACCTTGTAAATCTTTACATGGAGGCATTCCATGCTTTTGAAAGAGTCTTATTTTTCTCTCATGTGAACTTAGTAGCCCCAATAACTTTGCTTTCAGAGCTGTTCTTGCGCTAAAACTGAATCATGAAATACCACCTGTTACTTGGAATATGTCCTAAGACTGCACGTATCCTAAAATAGATTCTGTTTTCCTCTTCCACTTCTGTTTCCATTAGCCCCGGGTTTTGACTTTCTGTTCAGACATATTTTCAGTAAAGAATGCATTAAGATAACATAAATTCCAAATCAAACATCTCCTCATTCAGCATATTTTCTATTTAAATTTTTCCTGTACATTTCCCCTGTACTTATCTGAGGGATGGCTTCTTTATTTGTATCAGTCGTCTCGTGATAACTGGTTTTGCACAAGAGAAAAAGAAGAATGCTTCAAGAGAAAGGGAAAAAATTCATTGCTTGCACAACCTTGTTTCAATTCAGAGTTCCTTCCCTCTACTGAAGTATATTGATTGGAAAAATGTTAAAGTTGTTGAACAGTTTGTTTTCATTTCACAAATGTGAATCAGGATTATTGCAGAAAGATAGGAATGCATTCATCATTAGAATATGCCTTACACATTCATTTATTTTTTAATCTATAATTCTTATTGAACTAAGGAAACTCACAGGGATATGTATCACCACAGAGAACAAAAAGAGGCTGATTGAGCCAGATAGGAGGAGTTCAGCAAAGCTTTTTTCCACAGTGCAAAAATGCAAACTTATGAGGCCATTTTTTTGATAACGATGAAAAATGTTGGTTTCCCAGAGCTGGGGAAGATGCTGGTGACATTGCGTTCATGCCAAGTGTCTCAGAGTTACCTGACTGAGGTACAGAAAGTTGGGAGGCGGCAGCCATTGATAGATCTTCCCACTTAGCACATGGGATATGTTTTTAAACTCCCTTCCAAACCGGTACAAGCTTGGTCGTTCTCGGTGCAGGCCTGATGTACTTTTGCTCTAACCTGGAAGCCAGTTAACTCTGTGCGCAAGCTGGGAATCGGGGCTTATTACGTCAGGCGTAGTGCAATGCTAGCGCAGTTTGGTGGTGACTCACCTCCAGCCAAGTGGGCAGAATGAGCTCAGCTCCTTTTGCAAAACACCACATGGCTGTGTCTCGGATCAGCTAGATTTCTTCTTGGGACCACTTTGCATCTCCTCCAGCACAGCTCACTTATGAGTTGACTCATCCTCTCCAGAGTTCCCAAGCAGACAGTGTACAAGCAACACCTCCTAGCTTTCCATAGGTGCTCTTGGTTTTTGATGGTCTTTAAGGCAAGGCTATGTCAGCTTTTGCTGTCTCTCTTTGCCTCCTACTCCTTCTTTTCGGGTCTCGTTTCATTAGATTTATGTACTGTTGCAGATGGCTTTTTGTAAGCAGTATGTGTCTGCCCTTTTAGTCGTTCTTTCCTACCAGTATAACATGCCTAAAGCTGGGCCCAGTGAGCTCTAGGGGGTCACAGGACCATGCAGCTGCAGGAGTCCATCCAATCAAGAAACATCTTTTATCTCATAATGATAATTTCCCACTTTAGCAAAACGCCCTGCTGCCAAACTCCAGTGATAATGAGCCTGTCAGTGCATCAGTGCACTCCCAACAGTATCTAGAAAGTAGGGTTTTTTTTTTCTTTGCGAGGCAAATGAAGACACTGATGATTAGCAAGAAACAAACCAATGATTCAATACATTGCTGGCCACACATACCAAATCATTGATTTTCTCTCCTGCTGGGCAGCAGCTGTTCCATTTGCTCTGTAGAAATATTTTTTCTCCACTAGGACTAGAAAGGTGGATGTTTCTACAAGAACTGGAGGCAGCAGGCAGTTGCTTGCTGCACTGGGCATGGGCATGTTGATGCGGTCCTTCTGAAGCTGCTGAGAACTCTGAAGGGCTTCTCGCTGTTGAATTCCGGAAATACTGTTGGATGCATGTAAATATAGGGATTGGTAGATGGAAAAAAATCTCCTGTGAGAATTTTCTTGAAATTGCAGGACAAAAATGCTGCCCTGGAACTTACTGTCACTGAAAGAATTAGAAGTTAATCGTAGATATTCTCACGTAACTTCTCTCTGTATACCAGTTGTGTGTAATCGGTATCCTTACAGATCATCTAGTCTCAGCAGTGTTACTGTTTTCATAATCCTCGCCTTGTCTAGCTGGCTAGACTGAAATGGGACGTGTAGTCTGTAGCGTTGCCGAGTAAAATGCACACCCTCGAGTCAATGGTCTTGCAGTCTGCTGTGCAATGACATACTCCTGATGTTTTTACCTTCTCTTATTTCAAGGTACCTATGTGATGACAGTGACCGCAAACGATGCAGATGATAGTACTACAGCGAACGGGATGGTGAGGTACCGAATTGTGACTCAGACCCCACAAAGCCCATCGCAGAATATGTTTACCATTAACAGTGAGACAGGAGACATTGTCACAGTGGCTGCAGGACTTGACAGAGAGGTGAGTTGAAAAAACGTAATGCAGTTTCCAGTTGTTGATGATTACTAGCTTGTAATACCCAAATTCTGTGTCCAGTACAAACCCTCCCAACGTGTGAGTCCCAAAGTGGTGTTCGTGGTCTTTGCTGCCGCAGCAGCTGTGGGACATCGCAGCTCTGATTCGGTGCAGAATTTCTGCCTTAATCCCTGTCAATCGGTGAACCCCTGGGAGAATCTTCTCGCTTGTGTTGCTGATATTTTCCCTCCGTAAATTTGTACAATTCGAAGTACTCGAAAATACCTCAGAAGGTATGGGAGGCGGTGAATAAATTGGCGTTTTTCCCCTTCTGTCGAAGGACAAATGAAGTGGCATGTATCAATAGCCCTTTCTAGACCTCTCTTGGTTAGTTCTTTGCATTTGACCTTTGGAAGCAGTTACAGAGCCTGTATTTGACGTGCTTTGATTGTTTTGTAATGACATCCTTGTGCCATTTGCCAACCACTGCTTTCTGGTGAGATACTAACACCTCCACTCTGTCCTGTCAGTAAAGCTGCACAGTCCCCATTTAGTCGTTCCTGTCCGCTAATTAAAATGAGGAAATGGTCTTCCAGTGTGTGTTAGCAACCACATGCTTTTGGTTTTGTGTGATGCTCTGCTTTTAATACCTCTTCTCCTGGAGTTCTGAAATGTACAGCTTTTCCAAATATGGAAAAAAATATCATTTTAATTGGCGAAAATAGGATTTGCTAGTATAGGCTATGTAATATGATTCTCAAAGCTCTACCTTCTCTGGAGGTGTATATAACTCAAGGTGAAAGGATTTATACCTCACACTTTAAACAAAAATCAGTTTAGCGTAAGTGGTGGGTTGGAGTGACCATGGGTAGGGCCAGGGTTCCCTGGATCGGAAGTGAGACAGGGAGCTTAAATTGTGGCCTTTTTTTCTATTGGACTGTAAGGTTGCTGGGGCATCACCTGTTCACTGCAATTAAGAGGTCTTAGCTGATGAACTCCTAAGTGATTGGAAGGATCATTCATTGACCAAACTGATATCCCACTGATAGTATGACTGTGCAGGAAATAAACTTAATACTTAGACTTAGGTGCCGATGTTTCAGCTTAGGCAGCCCCCAGAGACGACAAGTCCAGCAAAATCCATTTTTGACAGTCAAGCGTCCTGCCTTTGGGGGAGAAGGCGTTGGACACTGGTTTTGTTCTTTCTTTCCTCTTTCTTTTGTTCTTTCTTCCTTTCCCCTGTGCCCAGCGTAGGCAGGGTGCTGATGGGTTTGGGGCCTGAGACAGCCCTTGGAGGGGTTCAAGCCTCCGCCACGGCTTCATGATGTGAAGACAGGCAAAGCAGAGCTGGGGGCAGGAGGGAGGCCACGGCCGCCTCCTGCCAGACTGAGGCAGAAGACTTCGTGAGCACCACCTAAGGCAGATTTGACCTTTCTCTGCTCCTTTTCCTTAGAAAATCAGGAAGTTAACCGAATCTGAAGCAGTAGATTATCATAGGCAACGCCGAAGCCTGTAGCGCGGTTGCCGTCAAAGAGGAAACACAAGTGCTCCCGAGACTGTCCCTCGGAGGGACAGTGATAAAGTGCTCAGAGGTGGGGGGTCTAAATTCTGGCAGGGAAATGCTGGTTTTATGGAAATGGCAGAACTTTTATTGCCCCCTTGACATCAGTGGGGCTGGCGTTTTAATGTAGGACTGTAAGGATATAGAAAGGTCGTAGATTCATATTCATTTCAAAGACATCGATTGGGATAGCAAGGGGCAGCAGAGGTTTTAATCAGCAAATCGAAAGAAAAAAGGAGGAGGTAATATATAGGGGGAAGGATAAGGCAAAATCATGATCTTTTTTTCATATTTATCCCATTGTGTCTGAAATATTTTTTAAAACTCACAGGAAACAATATACGTCATTTTAGTTCCCCTGTTGCACTAGGTTTGGGGAGTCAAGGCAAGTTAGCACTTCATGTATAGGAACGTGACGTTCACTGTCCCACAGCTGAGGGGGCACCAAGCTGGACAAGGGACAGGTGGATCGAGGCCGAACAGCCAGCTCTGGGCACAATCCTGAGGCTGCAGGACATGGGTATTCCCAGGGCTTTCCACTGCTTTTCAGGATTGCAGCTGGAATTGAGAAAAAGTTTCTATTTCATTAACATAAAATTATATTAGGTCTAAATTGAGAAATGTGTATAAGCCCTTCTGTAACTGTACCACAGGTTGGCTTTCTGTGTGTATTTGTTTTTCCTAAAATCTTGAAAAGGCTATTAGGGGAGTAAATTTGGTTTTGCTGCTGACATTTTCTTTTTGCTAGGAAAAGGAGCCGAAGAGCAGTATTTGGAATGCGGATCTGAGTAAATTAAAATGTTAACAAATCTGACCTATTCCGCTGAAACTGCTCCAACCAAGATAAATTCCCTGGATACGAGTTATTTCTCCAAATACTTATTGACACATTTATCAGTGCCTATGACACTATTGCGTTAAACCGTGTCGTTGAAACAGAACCAGGTTTTCGTTTAGAGTTCGAGCTTACTACCTTGCTCCAGCAATGGAAAGGTGCCTCAAAGTAGGTGTGAAAGTAGCTATCAAAGCCCTTCGGTAGCTGAGAGACAGGTCCATATTCCTGATCCAGCATTTGTCTTTTGGAGGGGAGAAAAGTCACTTCAGAAGTGGCAGTTCCAGGTCAGCAGTTCTGCTGCGTTCTGCCTTAGCTAGGCTTCCCAGTGATTTCAGCATCTCCACTTAAATGTTGGTTTCTTACATTGTGTTCAATTCATGCAACGTGCAATAAATTGAACTAAGCTTTCCAGCTTAGTTTGTGTCATGAGAATTATTTCAGTTAACCTGCAGGAAACCTATTCTGAGACAAATTTGTGTAGTTTGCTGCTGTTTCTGAACCCTCATTTCCATAAACCAAGGAGGAAATTAAAAACAGCCTCTGAAATTGTGCTGGTCTCTCTAAATGCGTGTGACATTGAAGACAGCAAAATGAAAAGCCAAGGTATTAAAATATTGATGGCTTTAAAGTTATCTTACCTGGTTCCCATTAATCTGGATGTAAATACGGTTACAATGCTCTTTGTCCGTTCACTCATTACGACTGCGCTTAATTGAATGGATCCCCAAGGAAGATAAAGATAATTGGACTGCACTTCATAAAAATTATTAAAGGAGGACAGTTTAGCAACAGTCTGAGTCAAGCTCCTGCCTGCATAAGGGTGAAAAATGCCACGGGTGGAACAAAGGAATATCTTATCCCTTGAACTAATAGGGAAAAATGATAGGGATTTAGACCCTGCCAGAGTTTCAAAGGTACATTCAAACAGCCAGGCTGAGCTGAAAAGGTTAAAAGCAGATACTTGCTCTAAAACAGGAAAATGTGAAGAAAATGCAGGGAATTTGTAGTTGATTTAATAGAAATGGGAAAAGATCAGGTAGTAACTGAAGCACAAAACATATGGATTAATAAGGAAGGCTGTGAATGGGAGAAGGACAGATTATAATGAAGTTCTCAGGGGGCAGGGGGGAACCATGCTAATTTATCTAATTTATGGCAGGCTGCTGCACAATCAGGTGGTACTACTAAGAACTGCTAGCCGAATGCTAGTCATGATACCTGCTGAATTTAGCAGTGTATCCGAATTCCAGACTTCATTGTTCTTTTTTTCTCCATGAAAATACATATCAGAGGTAAAAAAAATGGATCATTTGTCCCCAGTTGGGGCTATTAAGCAAGCCGAACTTCCATGTTTCTGTTTCTTATTCTGAAAAGTAGCATTTCTCCCTTTCACAGTGCAAAACTTACCAGAACTATCCTGCATTGTACTCGGTTTGTCTGGTGCCGCTCAGACTGGCGTCCCAGGCAGGGACCAAGCCCAGACTCTCTGTCTGAAGGCAACCGGTGAGCTCTTGGTGCAGTAATTCAACTCCATCAGCTGTTTTGATTTCTCTGGTGGCAGAATGTCTGTCTCAGTAGCACAGGAAACCTGCATTGGGGCTATAGCATAGGCAATATCTTCTTCTGAAGAGCTTCCACTGAATATTTTATGAAAAAGGACTTTGAGCAAGGAGGAAGGAAAAAAAAAAAAGACATGAGAGAAAAGGAACCGGTTGATTCCACATGCTGCTGGCAGGCCAATAAATGTCGAGACATCTCAAATGTCATCCAGGCTTATTTGTGATATTAAGTATTTTGGCTCGGTGGTGCTCGTAGTGTGTAATGTTGCTAACTTTTTGAGGTCTTCTTTAGAAAGGAAGCCCTTCCCAGTTTATCTCATGTTAAAAAAATAAAGCAAGTCAGGAACTCTTGAGTTGTTTCTTCCAAGTTTCTGTATGTTTATATTTCTTTTAAAAGTGATTGGAGCGCTGCTGCTGCAAAAGCTTTTAAAAATACATGAAATCCAATTCTATGATTACTACATTCGGCTTTCTGAAAATGTGATGTTGCTAGTCTTTTCGCAAGTGAGTGAAAGATAAAAGGGAGTGCCTGCCAACAACTGAGTTAGTGGCTTATTTTATTTATGAATGAAATGGCAGAATTTTTGTGGGGAAGCGCAGAAGTTCTTCTCGTTGGCAGAGACAGTTATTTCTTCTCCAACATTGTGGTTTTGCTGCAAGTAGATGTTTCTGCAAGTGCAGAATTTTGAAGTGTTACGATGAAAAAAAAAAAAGTGATATTTTGTTCTTCCAGAAACTGAGCTGTGATTGGTTTGTACCATCTGTAATAACTATTTTGGGTACGTTTATCTCTTGGTAACTACAGGTATCTGTTGGAAATCTCCTCATCCCTTCGTTTCAAAATGTTGGGGCTGGCTGGGAATGAGGAAGGCCTTTTACTGGTGACAGCTGGGAATTAATTTAAACCATTGGGACTGCTACAGTTTGCCCGGGGTGGAATAGTCCTATGGGTGCCAATACACTAGTTTGAGTTTATGCACGCACAGTGTATCCAGTCTGGGCTTTTTTTTTTCCAGCCAGCTAGTGCTCTTTAAGTATAGCGATCAGGTAA